ACAAGTTCACCATATTGCAGATTCAACAAATTAGGTTATCAGATTTTTTTACTTTTATTTTTTGTTTGCTATTTTACTTTATTTTTTTAGAGACAGGGTCTGGCTCTGTTACCCAGGCCGAAGTGCAGTGGTGAAATCCCAGCTCACTGCAGCCTCAGTCTCCTGGGCTCAAGTGATCCTCCTACCTCAGCCTCCTGAGTAGCTGCGACTACAGGCGCACACCACCACGCCTAGATAATTTTTAAATTTTTTTGTAGAGACAAAGTTTCACTATGTGGCTCAGGCTGGTCTTGAAGTCCTGGTCTCAAGCAATCCTGCTGCCTCAGCCACCCAAAGTGGTGAGATTGCAGGCATGAGCCACCACACTCAGCCAGATTTTGTTTCTTTGTGAACCTACAAAGAAGATATTAGCAAACCATTCTTTATAGTGTCTGACTTTTTTTTTTTGAGAGGGAGTCTCACTCCATTGCCCAGGCTGGAGTGCAGTGGTACAGCCTTGGCTCACTGCAACCTCTACTTCCTGGGTTCAAGTGATTCTCCTGCTTCAGCCTCCCAAGTAATTGGGACAACAGGCGCGCACCACCATGGCTGGCTAATTTTTATATTTTTAGTAGAGACGGGGTTTCACCATATTGGCCAGGCTGACCTTGAACTCCCGACCTTGAGATCCAACTGCCTCGGCCTCCCAAAGTGAGGGGATCACAGGCGTGAACCACCATGCCCGGCCCATCTCTCATGGTTTTTAAGCCACTTTCTTAAAAGGTTTTTAAAAGAAATGCGTATTACTAGCTACTATCTGATATTGAAATTTTAGAGTCCTGTAAGAAGAGCCTCCATTGTCTAACTGTTCAAATCATAGATCCTTATGTTCTTCTCTTCCTTGTCTCGTTTGATCCCTCCCTGGCCTGTATAGTGGTAGTCTCTTCAAAACTCCACATTTTTAGCCATCAAATCTCATTTCCAAGGCTGGATACAGTGGCTCATGCTTGTAATCCCAGTACTTCAGGAGGCCAAAGCAGGAGTTATTGCTTAAGCCCAGGAGTTTGAGAACTGCCTGGACAACATAAGGAGATCCCATCTCTATTTAAAAAAATAAATAAAAATCTCATTTTCAAGCCAAATCACAGCTTTCCAATAAATATAAAGAAATATCCATGTTATACCTGCACTGCTGTTAGGAAACTGTAAGTCTTATCACCTCCCAAATCTACAAAAGTCTCTGTGTGGGTATCTTCACTAGCAAGACTTGGCCAATAGCGGATGGATCCTTCTCTGGTGGCAACCATGACAGCAACAGCCTCAAAACAAGATCATAACAATCAGCAATCACAATAAAAGAAGAACTCAAAAACCAGGAGTCTGATGGCACTGATACAATAGGACAATTTACTATTTAATCAAGAAAAACCAGATATAAGAACTCACCAGTGTTTTGGTTTGCATTTCTCTAATGGCTAAAGATGCCAAACACCTCTTCATGTGCTTATTTGCCATCCTTATAGCCTCACAGTGTCTGTTCAAGTCCTATCCCCTATTTTTAAATTGCAATTTTCTTATCAAGTTTTTAGAATTTGTAAACATATTCTGGAAGCAAGTCCTATGCTAGCTACATGATTTAAAAATATCTTTTCCCACTCTGTAGCTTGTCTCTTCATTTTCTTGTCTTTGGCAAAGCATTGTTTTAAATTTTTATTTTACTTTAATTTTATCAAACGTTTATTTTACGGATCATGCCTTTGGTAATTTCCAACTCTGTCTAATCTCAGGTCATGATGATTTTCTCATGTTGTCTTCTAAAAGTTTTACTGCTTTGTTTTTTTTTTTTTAAGAGTAAGAGTAGCAGGGAAACGTTTTACTGTTTTACACTTAGATCGATGACCCATTTCAAATTAATCTTTGTAACAAAGTTTAAGGTCTAGTGGAAAATTCAACACAATACAATACAAATTGGTCATTTGTAATTTTTAAATTACAAATGTTCCTACACTATGCATTGAAAGGACCATCCTTTCTCCCCTGAATTGCTTTTGCACCTTAGTCAAAGATCAAATGGATGCCTTTATGTGAATCTATAACTGTATTCTCTATGCTGTTACACTGACCTATTTGTGTAGCTCTCTTTGCCAATACCACCATGTCTTGAGTTCTATAGCTTTATAATTATGTCTCAAAATCAAATAGGATGATTCCTCCAACTTTAGAATGTCCTTATTTTAAAAAGTTTATTTCAATAAGCTTTTAAGTCACCTACCTGGGTAGAAGGTGCTTCACCTGAGGGAGCAGAATAAGACAGAGCCACCAAGTTGGCACTCTGGTGGAAATCACTAGGTGGCAGCTGAAGCTCTTTGCAAACAGATAACTGTAGAACAAACCCAAACAGAGAATCTTTCACATCAAACCCATTATTTTGAAGATGCATCTGATTTCCCTTCTCTGCATATTTTAGATTCTGACTCATTGCTGAAAACACCATTCTACAAATATTCTTTCTTCTTACATCTCGTTTTAATCAGGTTGTCGGTAATTTTAAAACAAAGTATCTTAAGAGATATTGAATCACGAAAACTTAAAAGCTAGACCAAACTCTGAAGAACAACTATTCTAATTTCTTCCCAGTCTAGAAAAGTCCAGTTAAGAGACAGCTAAAGTTAAGAGAAGTGCTTAGGTTTTCTATGGAGCTTTCCCAAGCTACTCTTGATTTGTTTATCTGACACTTAAAATTAGCATGACCAAAGAGTAATTATACCAAGTTACCTAGGAAATATTTCTTAGACTCTGAGCCAAATATCAGGATCCCTAAGCTAACTCAGAATGTCCCCCAGGACTTTTCCCTGACCTATTACTCCTAACCACAAATACCGTTTTCTTTTTTTTTTTTTTCTGGTTTTCTTTTCTTTTTTGTTATTATTCTGATTATTATACTTTAAGTTCTGGGGTACATGTGCAGAATGTGCAGGTTTATTACATAGGTATACATGTGCTGGAAGCGGTGGTGGCGGCGGAAAAAAAAAAGGAATACATGTGCCATGGTGGTTTGCTGCATCCATTACCCCGTCATCTACATTAGGTATCTCTACTAATGCTATCCCTCCCTTATCCCCCCACCCCTTGCTATCCCTCCCCTATCCCCCCACCCCTCGACAGGTCCCAGTGTGTGATGTTTCCCCCAATGTGATGTGTTTTCATTGTTCAACACCCACTTATGAGTGAGAACATGTGGTGTTTGGTTTTCTGTTCTTGTGTCAGTTTGCTGAGAATGGTGGTTTCCAGCTTTATCCATGTCCCTACAAAGGACATGATCTCATCCTTTTTTATGGCTGCATAGTACTCCATGGTGCATATGTGCCACATTTTCTTTATCCAGTATATCATTGATGAACATTCAGGTTGGTTCCAAGTCTTTGTTATTGTGCACAGTGCCACAATAAACATATGTGTGCATGTGTCTTTGTAACAGAATTATTTATAATCCTTTGAGTATATACCCAGTAATGGGATTGCTGGGTCAAATGGTAACAAATACCATTTTCTAGGCAGCAGTAGCCCAAAGTTCAGCAGAAGTGAAGAGTTTAGGTAAGCAGGTGCCCTGAGTTAAAATGGAACATGACCAAGTGAGCAATCAGTGGTGGAAGAGAGTAGTATATCTAAGCTCTAAAAAACAGAAAAAAGGTTGCTGAGGATAAGTTACCAGGCATGCAAATGATAACCCACTGTTGGAAGTGGATAGGCTTAACTAGCAATTGGTGTCATTTTTTTTTTTAATTTTATTTTATTAAGCATCATTCAGCAGATTCAACAAAACATAGTTCTATTGTCTCAGAAATATGCAAACTCAAAGTTCATTTGCTTATGTGGGTCGCATTTAGTTCGATGCTTCATTAGGCAGACTGATTAGCATTATATTCATTGAAAATTTTAATGACTCTAATTTTGTTAAATGCAAACACAAATCTTATTTAAAAATTATTAATACAGGGAAACCTTTTTCCCAATACACAAATGTATACACATGCTTATTATATCACATCACTATGAAAATGCAAACCCTTAATACCTAAGTAGTTTCATATTTACTATCCTCTATCAACTGTAAAAATTAGGGTAAAAATTAAAAGTCAATTGGTATTCCTCTCCTCTATCTCCTTACAGATCTCTAGAGCCATTACCTTAGTAATAGGTGACAGAGCAATCTTCCAAACAACGAGCTTCTCTTTGCACACCAGACAAGCCCATCCACCTTCATCTATGTAAACAGTCATCTGATCATCGACTAAAGGAAAAAATGAGGTGAGTGATTATAGTATAAATATAAATCTTTATTACCACACACTTTATCAAAAAAAGTAATTATCAGACTCAGAAAGGACTAATTCATAACAAATACTTTTGAATATTCCAAAATTATCAACCCTCAAAACAAGAGATCTATTTAACTCTGATAACCACCTTTAGAAATATATCCAAAGGTAAAAACAAAAACAAACAAAAAGAAATATATCCAAAGGCAAAAAGTATATTTGAGACATTTAATATTCCTTAATTTTTGTTACAAACAGATCAAATAGCTTATTTCCTGTAAAACATATTTAGGCCAGGCATGGTGGCTCATGCTTATAAATCCCAATACTTCAGGAGGACAAGGTGGGAGGATTACTTGAGGCGAGCCTGGGCAACACAGTGAGACCCCCATCTCTAAAAAATAAAAATAAATTTAAAAAATAGCCAGATTTGGCAGTGCACTTCCCAGCTACTAGGGTGACTGAGGCAGGAGGAGCACTTGACCCCAGGAGATTGAAGCTGCAGTAAACCGTGATCACATCACTCCCACCTGGGCAAGAGAGTGAGACTCCATATCAAAAAATAAACAGAAATAACAAAAAGGAAATATTTAGCAACATTTATAATTTTATCGATAAAATAACACAAATAATAAACTCATTAACTATATAAAACATTTCAAGGAAAATAACCTTCCTTCAAAAGCATATAATTTTCAAATAAGAGCTCCTTAAAGGAATGATAAATTATTTCATTATACGGAGACAAAGAGTTACATTCTCTATTAAGTGACAAAACTAAATTAGCCTATGTCTTTTTTTTTTTTTTGAGACAGAGTTTCGCTCTTGTTACCCAGGCTGGAGTGCAATGGTGCGATCTTGGCTCACCGCAACCTCCGCCTCCTGGGTTCAGGCAATTCTCCTGCCTCAGCTTCCTGAGTAGCTGGGATTACAGGCACGTGCCACCATGCCCAGCTAATTTTTTGTAGTTTTAGTAGAGATGGGGTTTCACCGTGTTGACCAGGATGGTCTCAATCTCTTGACCTCGTGATCCACCGGCCTCGGCCTCCCAAAGTGCTGGGATTACAGGCATGAGCCACCGCGCCCGGCCAGCCTATGTCTTAAGTATTGGTGGTAAACCTCCACAAACGTGTTAATAGCCCTGGAAATTTTATTAATTTGAGCTTTGCTCTTTACTGAAAGAAAGGTAGAAGGGCGAAGTAAAAGACATAGATAATGTACAAGCAAAAATATCAAACCAAGCCCAGGCTAAGTGAGGGCTTTTTGCTCAAGTGAAATATCTGCTCAGTAATTTTCTTTTTCTTGAATGCACTACAACTCCAGATCCTCGACTGGTGTGCCCTGAACGACTGACCTAACAGTAGTTGGCAGGTTTCTAAGTGGGGAAGAGTTCAGGGTGACACACCTCTTTGTTTTACACATGCTGACTTTTAGGGACTCTCTAAATTTCTAGATTTGGGGCTGTGTTATTTAATCTAGCCTGTTAAAATACCAGGAGTACGTTAAAAGCCTTTAATCTAATTTAAACAGAAATTTTAGAGAGAAAAATATATACATACACATATATACATATAACATGTATATATATTTATTTATTTAAAACAGAACAATGTATATAGAGGTTAGCAGTTTAGTTGTCTGAAAACAACTATCCCTAAAGCCCCCAAGGACTTACAGGCAAGATGTGCAAGTTCCAGTGGATGAGATATATTCCTTCTTCTAAGACCGACTACTTTAAGCTTTTTTTTTCTACTGTTATTCACAGTAATATATACAGTAAATATAGAGTTATTCACAGTATAATACATTTTACATCATGATATTGCCATATAAAATTTAAGTAAATCAAACGAAATTTACTAAACATTACATGAGATGCATTCTATTCTGTTTCTTCTTTTTTTTTAATGCTGGTCATGAACCGCTAAATTTTGGTCACACTTATAATTTGAAAAACACTGTTCCAGAAAAATCATAAAGATGTAGAATTTTTTTTTTTTTTTTTTGAGATGGAGTCTTGCTCTGTTGTCCAGGCTGGAGTGCAGTGGCATGACTTCGGCTCACTGCGACCTCCGCCTCCCGAGTTCAAGAAATCCTCCTGCCTCAGCCTCCCGAGTAGCCAGGATTACAGGCAAGCACCATCATGCCCGACTAATTCTTGTATTTTTAGTAGAGACAGGGTTTCCCCATGTTGGTCAGTTTGGTCTCAAACTCCTGACCTTGCAATCCGACTGCCTCAGCCTTCCAAAGTGCTGGGATTACAGGGTGAGCCACTGTGCCCAGCCTAGAATTCACTTCTTAATAAAAATGATTTCAGCAGATACTAAGGGTGCTTTGAACTTTGCTCTTCAAGAGTAAAGTTGCCTTTCTAAGCTTGTGTTGATTTTATTTTTCAAAATTCCACACTAACTCTCTGCCAACAGACTTCTAAAGGTACCCACTACAATGGTAACATCACAAATTTGTGCACACAGCCTCTGGGATGCTACATAGGATCCAAAGATGGAAGTAGGATTTGATTGCACTGTATTATTAAACCCAATAATGTGAGGTGCCAGTTTTTTTTTTTAACACTAAACTTCGTAAACCTGGTAACTCTTCAAATGGAACTGAATTTTGCATATACAATATTTCCCCCTTTTATCTGCAGTTTCAAATACCTGTGGTCAATCATAGTCAAAAAATACTAAGTAGCAAATTCAAATGAACAATTCCTAAGTTGTAAATTGCATGCTGTTCTGAGTCATGTCATAAAATCTCCTACTGTCCTGTCTACAGGTTTTGAATCAACCCTTTGTGCAGCATATCCATACTGTATACACCAAGCTTGTCCAGCCCACGGCCCAGGGACACATGCAGCCCAACACAAGTTTGTAAACTTTCTTAAAACATTATGAGATTAAGGCACAGACCTTTTTTTTTTTTTTTTAAAGCTCATCAGCTATTGCTAGTGTATTTTACATGTGGCTCCAGACAATTCTTCTTCTGAAATGGCCCAGGGAAGCCAAAAGATTGGACGCCCCGAGACTATCCAGCTGTTTGTCACTTAGAAGCTGTCTCGGTTATCACATCAACTATTGCAGTAATGCAATGTTTGTATTCTTACTTAATGGCCCCAAAGTACAATAGTAGTGCTGCTGGTATATTGTTATAATTGTTCTATTTTATTATTAGTTATGTTGTTCATCTCTTACTGTGCCTAATTTATTTATTTATTTATTATTTTTTTTTTTGAGACGGAGTTTCGCTGTTGTTGTCCAGACTGGAGTGCAATGGCGCGATCTCGGCTCACCGCAACCTCCGCCTCCTGGGTTCAAGCAATTCTCCTGCCTCAGCCTCCCGAGTAGCTGGGACAACAGGCACGCACCATTATGCCCAGCTAATTTTTGTATTTTTAGTAGAGACGGGGTTTCACCTTGTTGACCAGGATGGTCTCGATCTCTTGACCTTGTGATCCACCCGCCTCGGCCTCCCAAAGTGCTGGGATTATAGGCGTGAGCCACCGCGCCCGGCCTTACTGTGCCTAATTTATAAGCTAAACTTTATCATAGGTGTGTACGTATTTTAAAAACATAGTATATATAGGGTTTGGTACTATCCAAGGTTTCAGGCATCACTGGGGATCTCGGAAGATATCCCCCAAAGATAATGGGGGACTACTGTACAGTATCTAAAACCTAAAATTAAAGAATTTGTGTTCAAATGAACTCATTCTCCTTCTCGAATTTATTATATATCTCAATGACAGTAAAAAAAAAAAAAGTTGGCTGGGCGCAGTGGCTCATGCTGGTAATCCCAGCATTTTGGGAGGCCAAGGTGGGCAGATCACCTGAGGTCAGGAGTTCAAGACCAGCCTGGCAAACATGGTGAAACCATGTCTACTAAAAATATAAAAAATTAGCTGGGCATGGTAGCTCATTCCTGTAATTCCAGCTACTTGGGAGGCTGAGGCAGGAAACTCCCTTGAACCCAGGAGGCAGAGGTTGCAGTGAGCTAAGATCGTGCCACTGCACTCCAGCCTGGGTGACACAGTGAGACTGTCTCAAAAAAAAACCAAAAACTAGATAAGCTACCCATCTTTCTCCATTCAGGTAAAGGTAAACTAGAGAAAACATAAATTTAACTCCATGCCACATCTAGACTCCATTTTTAATTGCTAATACAGGTAATGGAAAGATGACACGTACCTTCAGCCAATGTTAGGGCTTCCATGACTTTAACAGGAAGAGAAGATCCAAACGTTTTCACATCATAGTTCACAGCGTCAGTTATGGAGTGGTGTGGGAACATTCGTGTTGGTGTTCCTCTAAAGAAAGAGTTTATGGTACCTTACTTATAACTTAAAATTTTCCATTATTCTAATTTTTTATGTATATATTTTCACAATAAGAAGTTCTTTGAAAGAAATTAACACTGGCTTGTATTTACCATGTAATTAAACCTAATATTTTTCATGTAAAAAAAACACAAGATAGGATTTAGGAAAACTTGGCTTCAATCCCATATGCTCTAGTAATGAAATGCATGCCTCTATACACTTAAACTTCTTATAATTTTGCCTCCTTAGCTGTGAAATAATAAAGTGTTTTTTTCAAACAGCAGGTCATTTTGCAGATCTCAATCAACATTTTTGAAAGCCAGAATATAGAACATCAGCTTTTACCATATGTTATGGTTAATATATATATATATATATATATATATATATATATATATAACTTTTATCACATGATGCAGCAGTAGTGGTCAAATATATTTTACAAATATTGGCTTAGATGAGATTCAAGCTCTCATTTGGCTTTAGGGTTATTCATTTATTCATTTTTAAGAATCTATCATATCTGGTCAGGGCAGTGGCTTTTGCCTATAATTCTAGTACTCTGGGAGGCTGTATCAGGAAGACTGCTTGAGACCAGGAGTTCAAGACCAGGCTGGGCAACATGGCAAGACCTTGTCTCTACAAAAATTCTTTTGTTTTTTTGAGATGGAGTTTTGCTCTTGTTGCCCAGGCTGGAGTGCAATGGCGCAATCTTGGCTTACTGCAACCTCTGCCTCCTGGGTTCATGCAATTCTCTTCCCTCAGCCTCCCAAGTAGCTGGGATTACAGGCATGCAAGACCATGCCCAGCTAGTTTTGTATTTTTAGTAGAGATGGGGTTTCTTCATGTTGGTCAGGCTGCTCTTGAACTGCTGACAAGAGATCTGCTCATCTCGGCCTCCCAAAGTGCTGGGATTAAAGGTGTGAGCCACCACGCCTGGCCACAAAAAATTGTTTAAATTAGCCGGTCATTGTGGCACCAGCCTGTAGCCTGGGTGACAGAGAGCAAGACCCTGTCTCTTAAAACAAAACAAAAAGCACCTCTCAGATCTGTACAACCAAGCAAGAAATCAAACAGGTTACGAGCATCAACTGTTACATGGCCTTCAACAGCAGATATCACAATAAAAACTTTACTTCCTCCTCACTTTCTTCTTAACATTTAGAATAATATTGTAAAATCACCAGAATAAAAGTTATTATATCTTTCATCATGAGAATTAAATGAGGAGATGTACATAGAGAATGACTGAGGGCTTTGTTTCCTGAGAGATAACAAAGGTTTCTCTTCAAATGATCACCAGAAAGAAGAGATTTAAAAAAAACACCACACACAGTAAATGCTTTTATTCTCCAACTTTTCTCAAAAGGAAAATAAAACACTGACGAGATCGGCACTTTGAAAAGTACTTTTCGGAATATGCCAAAAAAAGTCAAAAATACAGTGTATTCTTTCAAAATCACTTCTTTAAAGTACTGCAAAATTTTACAGATAAATTTTAACCATAATTTCAAGACACAATACTCTGTGTTTCCCTGCAGGGGAAAATTCATTTTTTATAGGTGAATTCAAAGAAAACTATGCAGAAACACGTTATCTCTTTAAGTTTTAGGTTAATTATGAACATGGTGTGTCTGTGTGTGTGTGTGTGTGTGTGTGTGCGCGCGCGCGCTGTGTGATGATTTTACTGGTGTGCTCCAAAACAGCAATTTTAGTAACAAAACTATCATAGTGCTCTTATGTCACTTATGTAAAGCCTTTTCCCTATAATTTACCTAGAAAGTTAAATTCTGTAGCTAGAAAACCTTTAATTATCAATCATCAGATATTAATGTCGGTTAGCATGTTAAGCATTAAACAATGATTGTTCAAGGCTGGCGATCCTCATTATCACCATCACCTTACATCTGCATCGTGGCAAGTTAGTTTAACTCCTCCGGCTCAGGTGAGATATTATCGCCATTCTACATATGAAGAAAATGACGAGTCATTTACACCAGATCACAGAGGTAATAGGTGGGAAGTGGGTAACCACAGATTCGAATCCAGTTTGTACTTCACTTCTGCACAAAAGTATCCATGAAAAATGCAAAGTGGGGACTAGACTGATAAAGTGACCTGCAAGAGTGGAAAAGGTCTATTTTCCAATATTCTGGCATTCTCCTCCGCCGGCCCGGGTTCAGAAGGCTTCTGAAGACACTAATCCACCCGGCTCACTGAGGCCTGTGAGCCTGTTGGTCGCTAGACCCAACCACGGTGATCACTTACCGCGAGCTCAGAGAGCTACGCCGGCCGACCGGCGAGAAGAGCACTGGGGAGCTGACTGCAGACCCCAAGGGCAGACCCTTTCTGCTGGCCGTCCTAGGCGTGGAGCCGGGCCCGAGTCCGACCAGTGGGCCCCTTCGGGACCCGGGACCCGGGGTCCGCGGAGAGGGGGCGGCTGGAAACATGCTCCGAGCAAGCAGCGACTAGGACAGCGCGAGATCTGCCCGCCAGGTTGCAGTGCGGCCTGCGCGCGGAGCTTGAACACCTAAGGGGCGGGATGGCGCGCGATGATGACGTCGAATGCAGCGCCTCCCGCGGGGTGTAGTCGGAGCATCAGCGGGAGCGCGGTCGTGACGTTAAGTACGGCGTTGAGCCCGCGGGGGAGGTCGGGAAGGTGGCCCCAGATTCAGAACCGTGGGAGTGTCGAGGTTCCAGTGACGTGAAGCCGGAAAGCCAGGAGTCCTTGACTGCGTTTAGGTGGAACTGGCCTCCAGCAGCTTGAACGCAGCCTCGTTTGCACACTGTTAGTTCGTGAGCCTCTTGTGAAATGAAAGATGTTCCGCAGTCCAAGCTGAGGAGGGAGAAGAACCGTAAAGCCGACACTGGTATCGCACTGTTACATTTGTTCTTTGGTTTGCCATTTTCCCATTCAACTCTGCGCAGTCTCATCCACGCTAATGACGCCACAAATCCGTGTCTCTAACCTGGATTCAACTCAAAACCCCCAGACCCTTATCAGTCAGCTCCCTAGAGGACACTTTCACCTGCATGTCCTGCGGACTCCTCACAATCCCCTTATGAAAAGCGCATTCATTTTTTCCTTTTGGACCCTTCTACCACCATCTCTGTTCCAGCTTGGTAAAACTGGCCAGTTGTCCAAGCCCTATCTGCAGTCATCCCTCACACTTACCTCCACTCCAAGATCCTGGTATACGTTGTAGCACCTGCGTATCTGTACTAGAGCACACGTTGGCGCTCCCTCTGCCCTGGTTCTGGTACTTATCTTTTCCTCAACCACTGCGTAGCCTCTTTTCTGCCAGTGGGAGGAAGTGGGGAGATGGCGAGAGGGTTCCTTACCTCTGTCTGGTCTTACTCCACTCTTATCTTCTCACTGCCAACACAATGCATTAAGGCAAACCTAATGCTGCACTTGGGCCTGTAAATGCTTCCGTGGCCGACCGTTGCCAGTAGGTTATTTGCTAAGCTCCTTTACAAGGTCCTATGTGATATAACTCAGGTTGGTTTTTCTGTCCGTGTTGTACTTCCACCACTTCCCACTTGCGCTCCAGTTTCCAGGAACTTAATCCAAATCCCGCTCCAATGCCCATGTACATGCTTCTTTCACCTGCAGTGCACTCCCTGCCTTGTTGGTCCGGATCTTTCTGGACCTTATGCATCAAGAGCCTACCTTATGCATCAAGTTAGTTCCGTGCTGCCTTCTCAGTGAAACTTCCACAGGATTAGGTACCCTTTATCCTTTGCTCTCTCTGCTCCTGTGTGTAGACTGTTTTTATCCTCCATAATAGTTTGTTTTCATAACTGTGTCTCAAGCACCTCCTTTTAAATGTCTTGACAGCAGGGGCAGTGACTTTGTTACCTTTGTGGCACACAGTAATAGACACATAGTGAACTTTCATTCAACATGTGTTGAAATAAGGGAATGGTTAAGTAAACACTGATGTATCCACATGTGGGAGACCACAGTGTGGGTGTCAGCTGTTGGCATTCCTCTGGGAAGCCACTCATCTATCTATGCACGCCAGTGGCATCTGAGCAGTCATCTGGCCAAGGTTACATAGACAAGCTGCTTTACCCCTTCTCCCACCTGGGTGTCTAACCCAACTTGGCAGCTTGTTGAGTCTTGCAGCTCTGAGAGCCCAGTGCATTTCCTCCTGTTTCATTCTTACAAGGAGGAGTGTGAAATAGGCAATAGAGAATATTAATAGTTGTATCTGAGAGGATTGGTGGGATCAGTTTTATTCTTGTGCTTTGTTGGACTGGTTAGTGGTTTCCCCACCATCCTATTATAAAAGTTATTGTTTGCAGGAGCTAGAATGACTTGCCAACATCTTTGAGTGAGAACTTCCCTGGAGTCCAAATGTATGACTGTTAAAGGATAGTGAGGTGACAGCACTAGAACTCATCCATTTGTTATGGTTTTAGTGAGTGCCCACTATGTGCCAGGCTGTGTAATAACTGCTAAGGCTTATAACTAAACAAAGCTCAATGGGTCCTACACTCATGGAGATTGCAGACCAATGAGAAAGACAGACACTGAACAAATGAACACATATAAGTATACAGCTACAAGCTGAAATGTGTACTATGAAAGAAAAGAGCAAGATGTATGAGAGAGAATCACTGGAGTTACCTAATTTTGGATGGAGGTCTGTGAAGGCCTCTGGGAGAAATGGACATTTAACCTGAGACATGAAACATAAGACAATAGGAGGAAGAATGTTTCAGGCAGAGGATCGTTGGGCAAAGGTCCTGAAGCAGCAAAGTCTTGGTGCATTCTAAGGGAGTTTATTTATTTTTATTTTACTCTATTATTTTTCTAGAGATTGGGTCTCACTCTGTTGCCCAGGCTGGAGTGCAGATCAAATCTCACCACAGCTCCAACCTTCTGGGCTTCAGTGATCCTCTGTCTCAGCCTCTGAGTTGGGACCATGGGCATGTACCACCACACCTGCCTATTTTTTTATTTTTATTTTTAGAAATGGGGTCTCACAGCCAGGCACGGTGGCTCATGCCTGTAATCCCAGCACCTGGCAAGACTGAAATGCAGGAGGATGGCTTGAGGCCAGTAGTTCAAGACCAGCCCCTAGACAACATAGCGAGACCCTGTCTCCCGAAGAAACTTAATTTTAAATTCTAAAAAAATACAATAAAAAAATGAAGTCCTGCTGTATTTCCCAGGCTGGTCTCAAACTCCTAGCCTTGAGTGATCCTCAAGCCTCAGCCTCTAGAGTAGCTGGAATTAGAGCCAGGGACTTTAGGCAAACAAATCAACCTCAAAGACTAAAAGTAGAGGAAATTGGAGAAATAAGGAGAGACCATGAATGGCCTTGTACGCACTGTCAAATAAGATCCCAGAGAAAGCAGATGGCACCCTCAAGCTAGCTAGTTAAATGAATTTAATAAAGGACTGTTAGGGGCTGGGAACAGTGGCTCACACCTGTAATCCCAGCACTTTGGGAGGCTGAGGCAGGCGGATCACCTGAGGTCAGCAGTTTGAGACCAGCCTGGCCAACATGGCAAAACCCTGTCTCTACTAAAAATACAAACATTAGCCAGACATGGTGGTACACATCTACAGGTGGTGCACACCTACATGTAGTCCCAGCTACTCAAGAGGCTGAGGCAGGAGAATCTCTTGAACTCGGGAGGAGGAGGTTGCAGTGAGCTGAGATTGTGCCCCTGCACTCCAGCTTGAGCAACAGAGTAAGACTGTCACAAAAATAAATAAAACATGTGCCATGGTGGTTTGTGGCACCTATCAACCCATCACCGAGTTATTAAGCCCCACATGCATTAACTATTTTTCCTGATGATCTTCCTTCCCCGACCCTCCCAGAGATGTTCTTAAAAATGGTAACAGTTCATGCTGAAAAGTCTGTGGAGAAACAAGCACTGCTTACATATCCATCTGGTGGATTGTAAATGAGTATGATCTTTTAAGAGGACAGTTTCTATCAAAAAGCCTTATAATTACCTGGCAATTTCACCTTAGAAATTTATCTTAAAAATAATCAAATAACAAAGACAATATTGTTTACAATAGTGAAGGAAGTAGAAAGTAACATAAATGGCCAACTATAGATTTATAGTGCATCTACATATGGAAAACTGAAAAAAAAAATGCAGAGGTTCTGAGTCTTAAAAAGAAAAAAAGAACAAAAAGCATTCTGGAAAGCAGTATTTAAAAGAATACATATGGATGTGAATAATGAACACCTAAAAATGTAGGAAAATATCCATCATGCAAATTTCTGAAAAGCAGTTTGGTTAAAAATAGTATGTGCAGAGAATTAGGTCAAATTTGCAATTATGTAAGATGCATAAATCTAGAGATCCAATGTACAGCATACGGATTATAGTTAACAACATTGTATTATATGCTGAAAATTTGCTAAAAGGAGATTTGAGACTTTCCTCAAAAAACTCCCCCAAATTTTAGTAACCATAGAAGGTGATGGATAGAATAATTTGCTTGACTGTAATTAGTTTACTGTGCATATACATATCAACATCATGTACATCTTAAATATATAGAATAAAAAATAGTATGTGCAGTGACAGGGTTCAGGACTGCTACCCCAAAATGTGGCACCTGGGCACTTGAGAACACAGTAGAAGCAGAAAGATCACTCTCTGACCTTCTTCCACCCTTCTCCCCTGAAGCAGGTCATAAGACCCTCATTGAGAGATGCCTTCCCCATACCTGGAGGAAAGAAACATCCTTATCTCCGAAAACACAGGGCCATAGAGAAGAGTCTGAACAAACAGGCTTTACCAGGTTCTCCCAGTTATTACCATTAGATCAGACCTTTGTCTACTCACCTTTCCGTAAGTTGTGCACTCATCAAACCTAGGCATAAAAATGCACAAGTTTCCCGGTTTCCTTGGGTCTTCATTTCTTTCAAAGACTTCTATGTCACCTTAAACTTTTAAATAAATTTGTATGCTTTTCTCTTGTGAATCTTCTTTTTGTTATAGGGGCCTTAGCCATGAAACTAAGATGGGAAGAAAATATATTTCTTTCCCCCTACATGAAATATAAGCACATTTAAATTTTATTAACATAAATAAAAGAATACCTCCCCAATGTAGACTGTCCACTAAATTCATTTAATGAACATTTACTGAGCATCTTTGATTGTGCTAGGTCCTGTGCTAGGTGTAGGCTCTGTCTCCCTCACAAAGCTAGTGCAAGGGTCAGCAAATGGCTGTTTTTGTATAGCCTGCAGGCTACAGATAGTTTTTAGTTTTAATTTGTTGGAAAAATCCAGAGAATATCTCATGACACATTAAAAATACAAGAAATTCAAATTTCAGTGTCCATAAACAGCCTACTTGTTCCTGTAGGAATTGTTCCCGTTGTGTGTGAGGTGCGCAGCCAACTTGTGGTTCCACTTGGAGATGTGCCTCCCTCTGTACATCCTTCCCAAAGTATCACCTTTGCAGTTAAGATCAAACTTTGATTTATGTGGGACTAACAACTGCAATCAACAATAGGAAAGCAGCCAGAATGATTGCCTGCAGATGTGATGGAATGATTGGGCTCCAATTCCCACAGCATGGTAATTAATGTGTTAGAATGGAGAGGCACAGGAGCCTTGAAGAACTCATGGAAATTACCCACACCCAGTCATTTTCAGGGAACTCATCTAATCCTTATCTGTCAATGAAACTTTTTGAGATGGCTCTAAATCTCAGTGTAGTTTAGAAGTCCTTCAAGTAGTGCAGAATTTTTTCACTGTCTTTGGCATCAGTGAAGTTTTGGCCATGTAGTCTCTGTCACAACTCCTCCCCCTTGTGGCTGTAAGGTGAAAGCAGCCATAGACAATTCCTGCAGGAACAAGTAGGCTGCTTATGGACACTGAAATTTGAATTTCTTGTATTTTTAATGTGTCATGAGATATTCTCTGGATTTTTCCAACAATTTAAAACTGTAACAACTATCTAGCCTGCAGGCTATACAAAAACAGCTGTTTGCCGACCCTTGCACTAGCTTTGTGAGGGAGGCAGAGACTGCACCTAGCACAGGAACTAGCACAATCGAAGATGCTCAGTAAATGTTTATTGAATGAATTCAGTGGACAGAGATTACCAGGAAAACCCCAATGATGCCTCAGAATACACTCCAAAGGAACATTTACAATGTGGTTTTCACATAATTCTTTCATCTATATATGTTTTGTGACATTTATACTGGTTTTCACTTACTTACTTTTTTTTTTGAGATGGAGTCTTGCCCTGTCACACAACTGGAGTGCAGTGGTGCGATGTTGGCTCACTGCAACCTCTGCTTCCCAGGTTCAAGTGATTCTGGTGCCTCAGCCTCCTGAGTAGCTGGGATTATAGGCATGAGCCATGACCCTGGCCAAGAATTCATCTTATTTTATAAAACTGCCAAAGCTTATCAAAAATAAACAAAAACCAGGTCAGGTGCAGTGGCTTACTCCTGTAATCCCAGCACTTTGGGAGGCTGAGGTGAAGGGATTACTCGAGCTCAGGAGTTCGAGACCAGCCTGGCCAACATGGTGAAACCTTCTCAACTAAAAATTCAAAAAGTAGCCAGGCATTGGTGGTGCACATGTATAGTCCCAGCTACTCGGGAAGCTGAGGCAAGAGAATCACTTGAACCCGGGAGGCAGAGGTTGCAGTGGTCAGGATTGTGCCTCCAGCCTGGGTGACATGAGACTCCATCTCAAAAAAAAAAAAAAAAAAAGGATGGATTCCCAAAATGGAGCCGTACTTTTATAAGAGTGCACTTACAAGAGTTTCACTTACAGTGGTTTCACTTACTGTGATTATTCTTTGGGAACCTGTCAGGCCTAGGGTCAGCGGAGACCCTGCATGTAGAGACAAGCCTGAGAGGGTGTATAACAAAATGCTGAGCTCAACAATGTGAAATTTTATCTTCACATGTAGGATTTCAGGTCATTTAAATTTTCTTTTTTGCTTATTTTCTAAATTGTTTTCATGAAGATACATTTCCCTTCAAAAGCTCTCCATGCACATAGGACAAAAGGTAAGATTTTCAGCATAGCTTTGAGCTGGCCCCTGCCTATCTCGCTAATATCTTGTTTCACCACTTCCTGCCTGAAATTGTGTATGTCATTAATGCTGAATTAATTCACAACTTGCCTGTGCTTATTTCCTCCTCTGTGAAATGGGGAAGATAAATATTTGTCTAAATTACAGGCTTGTAGAAGTATCAAATGTAACATGCACACACTCTGGAAACAAAACAGCGATAACCAGAACATACACCTCTATATGATGTTTAGCTGCATTCTTGTTATTAATTTTTCCCTGCCTTACAGCTCCTTCAAAACTAGAGTCCTTTGAGGGCAGAAACTGTGCCTTACTCATCTATCATCAACTCCACAGCACAGTTCCTTGTCCCTGGTGGGAGTAGGAGATACTTACTTACTGCACTGAAACAACTAAACAGAATGTTTTTAAGTAGGAAACAAGTGATGACATTAACAAACTTTGATCAGGAGGAATCAATGGGACTTTTCATAACAACATGTGTTTCTGTTTGTTTAATGTTAGTCTTTTCTTTATTCCTGAATCTCCACAGCCAAATTCTAGTAAGAAGCTTTATAAGAAGTGACAGACTGCTGCTTTGGTTCCTAGGTCATAAAAAAAAGTGACAGACACAAAGTTCACTATAAATTTTAATCTATGATATAAAATATTACCTAAAGATATAATTGAACATCATGTATCAGAAAATAAAACATAACAATGAAATGTAATTTTGTAAATACTTCTATGGTACAAGGATTATTTTTCTCAGATTCAACCTTGTAATTATGTTTTGTTTGCTTTCTAAAAAATCACACTTCATAAAGAACATAAGTAGAACTTGTTAAAATGATTGTCACAGGTATACTGTTTACTAATTCAAGGAACACTACATTCATTCATTCATATCAATTTTATTCATTAATAAATTATGAAGAATGAAATATAATATTCCATGTTTTTCATGAAATAGTGGTTTCGTCTTCCAGTCTAATCAGGGAACTAATAAATGCTTATTAGTTCATGGAAATACTTACGTTTTATTTACATTGACATAATTACTTCTTGGAGTCTAGCCCCATCAGTGGAGAAAAAGCACTTTTTCTAAAGGCAACAGCAAATTAACAGCACTGATACAAAATATAGCAAATTCAATGGTTGTCAGCATTGCTTTAGGAATTTTGAGACTAAATAAAATTATAACCATAAATAAAAGGGCTTATTAACAGTTAATGCCTTGATTCCCAAAAGTACTCATACAAACAAGTGAGTTAAAAAAACAGGTTTTTCTGTTTAAAAGATGCAGCTTCTGCCCTTTTAAAAACATGTCAGGCTTTCATGTGCCAAAATGTGGAAAAATGCACATACTCAAATATAGTTCCTATAGGAACACATATTCCTCAACTCTCACACCTTTGAAGACACAGGAGATGAGCAACATAAATGTTCCCTTCTTTCCAGCTGACTTTAACTAGTTAACCAGGTTTGCTTCATGAGATTATCAGAATAAAATAAAGCGTTAAATTTTCATTTTCCATTACTTTACCTAGTAAAATTAGACTTAAAGCACGTGGAATACCAGAAGAATTACACAGTGATTAGTAAACTGGCCTAAAATGATCAGGCTTTTTATTTGTAATTCCCTTTTAAAAGTTGTCATTTGACAATAACTTCAATCTTTAACAGCAGGGAAAAGAAAATGAGGTGCCATGCTATATTCATTAAAATATTTCACGATAAAGGAAAATACAAAACCTGAAAATAACTTCAGTGCTATAGACATTTAAAAAGTTGCAATTATTAAAACTCTGAATAAAAAGATGTTGAGAACAGGTACATTTCAAAATAATATTTTACATACTTTGGAAAAAATAGGTATTTCTCAAATAACTTGATACACTGTTTACATATTTCATATAGTCTCTCGGGTTTTTTTTCCCTGCATCACTATTTTGTATTAAAGTCTTTCATATTGTTTACCAGTAATTGCTTCTTTATGCTGATATAAAACTTTGTTTGTTCATTAATTTTCTGTATATCCCATTTGGTTTTGAAAGCAGTTCTTCATGTTTTCCATATTCAGTAATTTTTCCTTGGTCAAGAACAGCAACCATATTAGCATTCTTAATGGTGGAGAGACGATGGGCAATAATTAACACTGTTCTTCCATCCATCAGTCGATCTAGAGCTTCTTGAACAAGGTACTCATTTTCAGCATCCAGCGCACTGACACAGGAGCACACACATAAGAAAGCAAAGACATCAGTGCCAGCCATACTCCAGGCTCATGTGCTTCCTGATACACAGCGGCCCTTCCTAAGCTATGAATTTTTACTAAGATCAAAATTTCAGCTGTTTGGGACTCCTTGAACTCCATAAAACTATACTGTGATATAAGGAGAAAGGCATTCTGCACAGTTGCAGCTTACAGAATGATTAGGATTGATGGCAACCATGTCTGAAGTGGACCTAGAACCCTCGATTATGACTCAGTCTGCCCAGTGCTTTTCAACTCTCATTATTTATTCAGGCTCCATCACTTTAAAGTAAAGGTGGGGGAAGCATTTTCAGTTGTATCCACTTTGAGGTACAGAATTAAAACGTTTCGGTGAAGAAAGAATTTGGTTTACTATATATAATCACATAAATTATTAAGATATCCTCACCTGGTTGCTTCATCTAGGAGAAGAATTTTGGGATTCTGAAGAAGGAAAAAAAAAGATAAAATAATTTTATTGGAAAAACACAAACTCTGAGCAATAAAAAGGAGTAAAATTCTGACACATGCTACAATGTGGATGAACCTTGGAAACTTATGCTAAGTGAAAGAAACCAGACACAAATGATCACACACTGTATGAATTCACTTATATGAAATATAGAAATGCAGAAAGATTAGTGGATACCTGGGGTGGGGTTAAATGTAGGAAATAAGGAAGGGGAGCTGCATGGCTGCTAAAGATTAGAGGGTCCCTGGTGGGAGTGATGAAAATGTTCTAAAATTATGGTGATGGATGCACAACACTGAATACACTAAAAATCAATGAATTGTATTCTTTAACCGGACAAATTATGTAGTATGTGAATTATATCTCAAAGTTGTTACAAAAAAACCCATAAATTACTAAGTGTCTGGTATAAGTACATAAATGAAAGAATTAAGAGACTGTTTTAAATGATCAACAGAGTAATCACTAGTACATAAATGAAAGATTAGAGATTCTTTTAAACGACAGAGCAATTTTATCCTGCTGGTTAGGGAGGTGGGAATCTAAAATGAGTAAAGTGGGCAGATGGTGGCTCACACCTGTAATCCCAGCACTTTGGGAGGCCAAGGCAGGTGAATCACCTGAGGTCAGGAGTTCAAGACCAGCCTAACCAACATGGCAAAACCCCATCTCTAGTGGCGCATGTCTGTAATCCCAGCTACTCAAATGCTAAGGCAGGAGAATAGCTTGAACTGGGAAGTAGTGGTTGCAGTGAGCTGAGATTATACCACTGTGCTCCAATGTGGGCAACAGAGCAAGACTCCGTCTCAGAAAATAAATATATACATACATACATATAATGAATAAGGCTGGGTGTGGTGCCTCACACCTGTAATCCCAGCAGTCTAGTCTGGTATGCTGAGGGGTGAAGACTGCTTGAGCCCAGGAGTTCAAGACTAGCCTGGGCAAAATAGCAAGACCCCATCTCTACCAAAAAAAATTTTTTTTTTAATTAGCTGGGTTTGGTATGGTATGCCCCTATAGTCCTAGCTACCCAAGAGGCTGAGGCAGGAAAATCACTGAAGCCCAGGAGGTCAAGGCTACAGTGAGCCATGATCACACTGCTGCACTCCAGCCTGGGTGACAGAATGAGACCCTGTCATAAATTTAAAAATTAATAATATTAAAAAGAAATAGTTCATAACTTACAAGGTCCTGTTTATAGTTAATTTAGAAATAATAAATAACTTTGGGAAGCCAAGGCCAGGTGGATCACTTGAGGTCAGGAGTTGGAGACCAGCTTGGCCAACATGGTGAAACCCCCACCTCTACTACAAATATAAAAATCATCTGGGCATGGTGGCATGCATCTGTGATTCCAGCTACTTGGGAGGCTGAGGCACAAGAATCTCTTGCAACCTGGGAAGCGGAGGTTGCAGTGAGCCGAGATTGTACCACTGCACTCCAGCCTGGGAGATAGAGTGAGATTCTGTCTCAAAATTAAATTAAAACACATAAGACAAAAAAAAAAAAAAAAAAAAAAAAAGACTAATATGATGTAGGTAAAACATTAAATTCTAGCTTTGCAAATGAAAACATACATCCTCACAAAAAAGTAGCTACTATTCATTCATATATTATTCACAATAGCCCCAAACTGGAAATGACCCAAGCATTCATCAACTGGTGAACAGATCAACAAATCGGGATCCATCCATACTACTCAACAGTAGAAGGGAATAAAGTACTGATACAAGCTACAAATTGGAGAAATCTCAAAAATGCTCCACCCATACTAAGTGAAAGAAGCTAGATGCCAAAAACCATATATTGTTGGACTCCACTTATCTGAAATGTCCAGAAAAGCAAATCTAAACAGACAAAGTAGATTCATGGCATCCTGGGGCTGGAAACAAGGAAAGACTCCAAGTGGGCACGAGAGATCTTTTTAGGGTGATAGAAATGTTCTAAAACTGGACTTTGTGTGCAACCAACTCTGCAAATTTACTAAACGTCACTGGAAAGTACACTTCAGTGAATTTTATGTATGTAAATTATGCTTCAGTAAAAATCACCTATACACCTGAGGAGAATAGTTGTGTAACAAAGGGAAGACTATCACTTCCTTAAAAATAGAACACCTGCCTTTCGGCTAACATGGCTCTTCCCTCTTCTTTTAGGAGTCTTGTCTAAGTACTTCAAGTCTGTACTATTCACTTTAGCAGCTGATTACAGATTGTACAAATATGCATACTGTGCTGTGTGTTTTGTATTTTGCATTAATAATCACTGTTTCACTGGCTAGACTGTATGCTTCTTGATGGAGGGGCCATGTGTTAAATTCTTCTACCTCAAACATCCTTACCACAGTACTGGGCTCATGATACCTAAGAAATACTTGTTAAATTTGGACAATATGCACTAACTTACCTTTCACCAGAACTGTCACCCTCCCCATTCAAGAAAAAAACAAGAAGAAACGGAAGAAGACAAATAGTAAATTACAAATTACAAAGTTCCTAATAAAAATAATCCCTAATTTAAAAAACAGCCAAGTAGCTTCAGACTTACCTTAAGCAGAGCACGGGCAATTGCAATCCGCTGTTTCTGCCCACCTGACAAAGACAATATTTAAAAAAAGAGAGCCTTAACAAAAATTCTTAGTAATAGGCTTTTATGACAAGTCACATGGCAATTTGAAGGCAAACTTCTTCCAGTCAGTCATAGCTGAGATAGACCAGAAACCGATTTTAAAATATATTGTCTATCAATCCCAAAATTAATAATTATTATAGCTAACATTTATTGAGGACTTCCTATATACCAGGTATTTGATTTTCTTTCTTTCTATTTTTTGTTTGTTTGTTTGTTTGGAGATAGAGTCTCACTCTGTCGCCCAGGGTAGAGTGCAGTGGCACGATCTCAGCTCACTGCAACATCTGTCTCCTGGGTTCAAGTGATTCTCCTGCCTCAGCCTCCTGAGTAGCTGGATTACAGGCACCCGACACCATACCTGGCTAATTTTGTATTTTTCTTTTTTAGCAGAGACAGGGTTTCTCCATATTGGTCAGGTTGGTCTCGAACTCCTGGCCTTGTGATCCACCTGCCTCAGCCTCCCAAAATGCTGGGATTACAGGCATGAGCCACCATGCTTGGCCTCTTTCTTTTTATTTTTGAGATAGGGTCTCGCTCTGTCACCCATGCTGGAGTGCAGTGGCACGATCATGGCTCATTGCAGCCTCAATCTCCTGGGCTCAAGTGATCCTTTGACCTCAGCCTCCCAAGTAGCTGGGACTATAGGTGTGCACCACCACATCTGGCTAATTTTTGGTAGAGGTGGGTTTTTGCTATGTTTCCCAGGCTGCTTTCAAGCTCCTGGGCTCAAGCAATCCACCTACCTCAGCCTCCTAAAGTGCTGGGATTATAGGCAGGAGCCACAGTGCCCATCCAATACCAGGCATCTTCTATTTGCATTGCATGTATTATCTCATTTAATGTTTTTATTTTAAATAATTTCAAACAAGGGTCTTGCTCTCTCGCCCAAATGGAGTGCAGTGGCATGAACACAGCTCATTGCAGCTTCAGCCTCCTGGGCTCAAGTGATCCTCCCACCTCAGCCTCCTGAGTAGCTGGGACCACAGGCACACACCACCACACCTGGCTAATTTTTAAAACTTTTTGTAGAGACGGTCTTGCTGTGTTGCCCAGGCTGGCGTCAAACTCCTGGAGTCAAGAGATCCTCCTGCCTTGGTATCCCAACGGCCTGAGATTACAGGTGTGAGCCACTGTACTTGGCTAATCTTTTTTAAAAATCCTATGAGATAGACCCTATAATTATTCCCATTTTATAGATGATAAACTGAAATATAAAGTAACATGTCCAAGATCTTATAATTGGTAAGTAGTGGAACTGAGATCTGAACCTACACAGTGCAAGGGGTATGCACTTAAAAGCATATAAAGAGCTATGCTGTTCATCACTACACATACTTCCTCCCTAACAGAATATCCAGTGTAGCAAGGAAACCAGAGACTCAAGATATTTGGAGGTTTCCAAAGAACCCTTGAAATGTCTGGGAAGCAAAAGACATCAATGGTGCTGAGGCTGAGAATTCTAATTTTGCCACATTAGAGCAATTTTTTTCCTTTTTTTTTTTTTTTTTTTTTTGAGACAGTCTTGCTCTCTGTCTTCCAGGATGGAGTGCAGTAGTGCAGTGCAATCATGGCTCACTGCAAGCTCTCACTCCTGGGCTCAAGTGATTCTCCCACCTAAGCCTCCCCAGTACCTGGGACTACAACATGTGCCACCATGCCTGGCTAACCTAGCACTTATTCTTTATGGTGTTCTTTTTTCCTCTCCTCTTAGAGGAACGAATAGTAACGTGTGTATGACACTGAAAGTTACAGTAAGCCACTCTAATCCTCCCCATCTTTTAAAGCTCAAATTCTACTAAAAGTGAAGAAACAGACTGGAGGTAAGGCGGGATGGAGTGGAGTCAGCAGGAAATCTGTGTTGATTCCCTCCTCATCTTTGTCTTACCCCACCCTCCCTCCTTTCCTCCAGGACGCTACTCCTAAGTCACACTTGAAAAGTCTCAGAATGCTCACTCCTCCCAACTTACGTTGTTTATAAAACCCAATTCCATTTTGGGGGATAAAAAATATTCCTTTTTGGTTGATTTTACTGGCTGAACATACTTATCAACAGTAGTTGCTGGACATCATTTTATTTCATGTAAGAGAGGTTCATCCTCTACAGTTGAGGTGTGTGGTGCTGCTAAATGCTGCTCTCAAACAGGAAACCAGTGCACACAAGGGCAGTGAGGAAAACCCTCTCCTTCTGAGCCTCTGACTGGTGGGGATGTCTGAATGCCCTGAGGTAGGTCTTTGGAGCAGCCAGCTGATAGCATAGTCCCCTCTGAGGCACTTGTGGTGCCAATGAGTACGCTGGGAATCTATTGCTAGGAGTTCTGTCTTCCAGAAAGCAAGAGCAGACTGGAACCTCTGGTTACTTTGCTAAGAAACAGAGCTGGAGAATCCTACTAGAGGGAAGGATATGCAGAATCTGTTTCAAGGGAGGTGACGTGCTCTCGGGACAAACCTCACACTTCAATTTTCAAAAATTTCATCACAAGAAGTTTAAACTGGTTTTCTGCCCCATTTCTCAGATATGTTTCAGAGATGGAGTAGCAGTTCACTTTTACACAGCAGTCAGGAATTCTACTCCTGGAACATCTCAAATCTATCAAAGACACCTTTTCATCTGCTGCATATATATGTATATATTATACAATAAGCTTAAAACTCTTATATTTTCTGTGGTTTAACTTCAAATGAAAAGTTTAGCATTGGAAAAGACTGTTGTTTTAGTCCAATCTGCCAGCCTTCACTCTGACAAAGAGGTACCCACTCACTGTTCAAGCAGAGGCAAGGATTTTTTTTTTTTTAATGTTCAACATAAGCTGTTTCAGATTTTTTTTTTTTAAACAGGGCCTCACTCACTCTGTCACTAAGGCTAGAGTGCAGTGGTGCAATCTCAGCTCACTGCAACCTCTGCCCTGCTGGGCTCAAGCAGTCCTCCTACCTCAGCCTCCCAAATAGCTGGAACCATAGGCACATACCACCACACCTAGCTATTTTTTTGTACTTTTGGTGGGGGGGGGGGTCTTGCCATATTGCCCAGGCTAGTCTCAAACTACTGAGCTCAAGCAAGCCAACTGCCTTGGCCTCCCAGAGTGCTGGGATTACAGGCGTGAGCCACCATGTCCAGCTGGGAGCTTGTTACCTTGCAAGGAAACATTTCAGTATTGGTATTGAAAAAAAAAAGCTCAAAATTTATTTCTCTTTAATTCTACTCATTGGTTCCATTTCTGCACTTTAAAGAAATAGAAAAGAAGTCTTCTCTCCCTCGTGAAAATACAGTACCCATAATGTGATCCAGAATGATAGGTGTGGTCTGACATCAGAGGAAACCGCTTACTTTGCCTCACAGCTGTGAGTCCATTCAGCAAATTATGGCTTACAGGCCAGACCTGAACCATGACTTGTTTTTACATGGCCCTCAAGCTAAGAATGTGTTTTACATTTTTAGAGTTGTTTTAAAGAGACACACAAAGAAAAATATGTGACAGTGATCATATGTGACCCATAAAACTCAAACAGTATTTACTCTCTGGCTGTTTACAGAAAAGTTTGCCAACCCCTGGGCTAGTATGTAGGGAGTGAAGAACTCTTTCAATTTCAGCTTTGTTCCTGATGCACATTCCCTGACTCCCTGGGCAAATCATCCTGCCACTTACCTTATTTTCTTTAATTTTTGAGGGTCTCAGTTTGCAAAGCACACTTTTTTTTTTTTTTTTTTCAGATGAGAAAAAGCTTGCTGCGAGTGAGTACTACTCAGAATTTTTGGAACACATTTGAGGTAGAAAGAGAAAAAAAAATACTGGGTGGTTTTCTACATATAAGAGGTTTCAGCAAGTAGTAAGGCTAATTTCAAAAACTCTAAAGATGAAAGCCTAATTAGAAAACAATACTGCAACATGGAAATGTGTAAAAAGTTCTTTGAATATAGAGTTTTTGCTAAAAGCAGTAAAAAAAAATGCACCTGAAAGGAGAACACCCTTTTCTCCAACCACAGTGTTGAACCCTTGGGGGAAGTTCCGGATGAAGGCCACTGCATTGGCCACTTCAGCCACTCTCTGGACTTGCTCATCAGTCACAGAAGAAGGGTTGTCAGCGCCATAAGCAATGTTCTCAGCAATAGAGCCAGAAAACAAAATGGGTTCCTACAAATTGGAAATAAAACATATCACAAATTTCAAAACAGACTTCCAACGTGTCTAGTAAATTCAGTTACATCCAAGAAACTGTTAAGCTGCTACCCAAGAATATAGACTAGTTTCTTGGTTTCTTCCTCATTCTCCATAAATTCACCTAGCAGTTTTTTTTTTAATTTATGTTTTGTCATACACAGGATTGATTTTATCGCCTGTAGTTCTCACCATGCTGCAGGCAATGAGACCTCACGGCAGGTGCCCGCAAGGCACCTGGCACATGGTAGGAACTTCATAAATGTCAGTCCCCTATCTTAGGAATCAGGAGGCACTGGGAGACCCCAAATCCAATTGCACTTTCTCAGCTGCCTGGCTTCCACTCAGGAAAAAGAGGGGAATCCATCTCTATCCATTACTTTTGGAAATACATGCAAACCAGGTAGGAATAAAAAATTCTTGACAGAACCCTATGGAGTAGTCCTAAAAAGCAAGCAAACTTCCAGGCTGTTTTCTCCATCCCTAATAAAATACACCACTGATGTCCCTACACTCCTGAGCACCCATCACTGTCCACCTGCCCTTACCCAAGTGGAGTGGGGAGAAGGTGAGCTAACTAGAAAGAGCGGTTCAGAAATGGGGGGAGGCTTAGGTTTGTATGCTGTGTACACAGCCTGGTAATAAAAATTAGAACAGTTGCAGCAACATTTCCCTGCCCCAAAAGGTCTTCTGAAAATGGCCTTATCAAAGTGACCACATTACATTAACACTCCGCTTTGAAATCTGCAACTTCTTTGCAAGGGGGACTCTGGCTCTTGCCATAGTCTTTGCTTACTCGTCCCTGAAACCCATTAAGCAGAATAGTAGACTATGGCTGGTGATGAAAATCGGAAGTGGGGAAGAATCAGTAAAAGCTAAAGAAGAGTCAATAAAAACTTTTATCATTTCCTCCCCATCCTCTAGACTATTTAGTAACGGCAGTCTCCAGCTTTCAATAAAAAGTCAAGGCTTCACCTTGCTCAGTTGTATAGGGTTTTCAGGAAACAGCACTACTTGCAAACCTTAACAACCTGCCATGTGAGATGAACTTAATACATCCAGAAGACTTCCATTCCTTCTCACTTGAGAAGTTCGAGACAAAAAAATGGAAATGACAAAAGTAATTTTATTTATTGATTGACTGATTGATTGACTGAGGTGGGATCTTGCTCTATTGCCTAAGCTGGAGTACAATGGTACAATCTAGGCTCACTGCAGCCTGCAGCCTCCACCTCCCAGGTTCAAGCAATTCTCCCACCTCAGCCTCCCGAGTAGCTGGGATTACAGGTCAACCACCACACCTGGCTAATTTTTGTATTTCTAGTAGAGATGGTGTTTTACCATGTTGGCCAGGCTAGTCTCGAACTCCTGACCTCAGGTGATCCACCCTCCTCTGCCTCCCAAAGTGCTGGGATTACAGGTATGAGCCACTGTGCCCGGCGACAAAAGTAATTTTAAAAGAAAGTGAAATAGAAATGGAAGCCTCTCTTCTTACCTGACTCACTGTCCCAATCTTGGATCTCAGCCACACTGGGTTTAGCTGACGGATGTCATGGCCATCAAGACTGATAGTTCCTTGTGGAGAGGAAAAGAAACAGTCACTGAGTGTGATGAGGCTGATGACCAACACAGAAAGGATCCAGTGGGAAAATTCCAGACTCTATTTCTCAAAGATAAAAAATGTACTGAAAATCTCCAAATGGACTCTAAAACCAAACATCTTTCATGAAATTTCAGAGCTAAAAGGGAGTTTCCGGATTGTCCAAGTTACCATCTCCCAATAGTGGCTGAATGACTATCTCACCTAGTCCATCTGTCCAGCTTGCCTTCCTGCACCCCAGAGGTTGTAGGGAGTTTCCCCAAAACTCCATAGAGTGACTTAGGATTCCACCGATAAGATGCCCTTGTGCAAAGCTTTGATTCAGAAGGGAGGAGCAAGCCATGAGGTATCCACTTGCTGGCACGAATATTGGCAGAGGTGGCACAGTTCTGAAGCTGGCATTCATGACGGCAACTGCCTAAATTTCCAGCTGACAATGCCAGTGTCAGCAGCTTCCTTGAAGGCCTGGTTCTAGGATAGAATTCTGGGAATTGTCCTGGAAGTACAATCTAGAATCTATTTTATCATCCCTGCCAGTGATTTTTGAGTTCTTTTATTACTCCTTTAAACATCCCTTTCTGTAGAAGCTTAGATGGTGAGGAATCTGTTGTCTGCAATTAAGAATCTGGTAGATACTATGGCAGAGCTTTTAAATAATCAGATGCTATCTCTAGACTTTCACTAACAGAATTCTACACACTGAGGGTGATCAACAATACTTGGAGATGATGATAACAGTGACAGCATAAGAAATGCCCTTTCTTCTCGGTTAGTGTTGTGGAATTATAAAAGCCAGCTAGAAACTTTCATAAACTGGCAAAAACTTGAGGTCTTTGACTAAAAAGCACAAAGCTCTCTGTAGACTACACATGGCAGACATTTAACTGCAGTGTGCTTTGTCCTGGACTTATTCATTGTGATGAAGAAACTAGAGACTCAGTATTTTTACTTGACTTACAGCAACCTAACTAGGATTGTTTTTTGTCTTTTTGTGGAGAATGAGGTCTCACTATATTGCCCAGGCAGGTCTCAAACGCCTGGGCTCAAGCTATCCTCCCACCTCTGCCTCCCTAAGAGCTGGATTACAAGCATAAGCTACTGTGCCCAGCTAACTAGGATGTTTTTAAACTCCGAATTGTATAGCAAGTCAATGATGAATCAAGAAAGTGATTCCAGAGGCAAACAGTGTAGTAAGCCCCATTTTAACATAGGTGGTGATTCTGTGGGTCAGGATTTGCAAGTCCATTTATCTGACATGTAACCAGCTCTCACATTGTTTTAACCAAAAAGCATAAGCACAAAGACACAAAACATTCTTTTCATTTTAAACATTTTTAATTTTTTTTAAATAAATAGAGACAGGGTCTCACTATGTTACCCAAACTGGTCTCCAACTTGTGGCCTCAAGTGATCCTCCCACCTCAGCCTCCCAAAGTGTTTGAATTACATGTGTGGGGCTCCATATCTGGTCAAAATATTCTTTTTAAATTCATGATTTGATTTTTACTAAGAGTCGTTTGCTTGCTGACACTGTTGTCTACTCCAGGGAAGATATAAAGAAGTAAAATCATGTGTTCTTTGCTCTTAAAGATGTTATAATCTAAAAATAAAACAAAAACTAGAATGAGAAAAATCATCCATTAAGAAAATCCCTACTAGCTCAAAATAGTTTCAATGGAACAGTCACATAGAAGTGAATCACTGATTGCCAAGTTAACTGTGTGCACAATAACCACTCAGCGGGTCACAGGCAGAGGCAGAGGTTCTCCAGGAGCTCCCCATCACACCTGCGCCCAGCATGCCCGCTGGCAAACGGTGGTTCTCCAGGGTGCTCCTGGCGTGTAGGGATGTCCAGCAGCACTCAGGCACCTTCTCCTGGCCACTGAGCACAGCCTCATCCACCTGCTCCCAGTGGAGGGCATGTCCAGAAGAGATACCCACATGGGAGATGAGGAGGTAGAATTGGGGAAGTCACTCTGCGGTTGAAGAGATAGGACACATCATATACAAAATGCTCTAAAGGCCTCTGTATGAGCTGTCATGCCCCTGCAAATGACACCTTCTGTTTGAGGGATTTCTTTCCACTGGCACTTAGAACTCTCACAGAAGAAGGTATTTGCATGGTTTGAGCATCTCCCAGGGACACAAAGTGGGAGCAGAGCTTCGGAGAGTCCCCTGGTGCTACAGTGTGGTGAACCACTTACCAGAAACAGGGTCATACAACCTCAGCAGGAGCGAAAGCACTGTTGATTTGCCAGAACCACTTGGGCCAACCAGTGCCGTGACAGATCCTGACGGAATGGAAAGGCTGAAATCCTGAAATATGGGCACATCTGGGCGAGCTGGATAGGTAAAATGCACGTTCTTAAACTCCAAAGCACCCTGGAAGCTTTTTTCATTTAAGATGACCCCCTCTGAAACATAAAATGGAATATTAATTACTCAAAGCAAAAAAGTAAACTCACAGCTGAACTCGGTTCTCCTACTTATCTGGCTATGGACGGTGACTCCACCACAGCTAACCCTGGCATATGAGCTCTTAAAGGGTAAGTCAGAAGCAGACCAAGGCTAGACGCTTACTGTGTGCCAACTCCGCACCTACTATGTCCAAAGTACTATACATAGACAGTCTTATTTGATCCTTACAACCCTGAGAGGTAGAAATTATGATTCCAATTTTGCTGATGAGGAAACTGAAGACCACAGACAACAACCTGCTTAAGCTAACAAGTAGTGGAGTTAAGATCCACCCTTGGAGCAGTCTGGTTTCAAAGCCAATAGCCTTCTCCCTATGGCACTGCCTGTGTGTAGCTCCAGTTTATCTTGCCTAACAGGAATAAATATTTTGAAAGAGTTATGATGAATAGGAAGCACTGCAAACCAGCCACAGAGCTGGGTGGGGTCAGAGGTTTGTTCTGCCCTGGCATTCATCTTCTCTGATTTGGGAGACACCACTCAGCCTCTCTCAGTTGGGCCTATTTCCCAGGCCTAACACATCTGGAGAATATTGGGCTTTCACTTAGGGACCTGGGGCTACCCAACAATGTCCTTGGAGTCAATAAGCAGTTGGGAGTGGTTACTACTCATAGCCACTTCTCCTGAGTCCTGGCTAGTTGGTCTAGGCCCTACAGCTCCAGGGAAGTCATTGATAAGGAAGGTGATGGCTCCAGCCAATGAGTACCAGCCTCCCCTACCCCACCCAAAAATGCCAAGAAACTTAGATACTTAAAAACTTCCATATGTCCGATTCCTCCTCCCTTCTTCCCACCACAGAGATGTCAGAATCACTAGGGAAGATCAATTTGGTAGACTAGCTGGAACCCTTCCTAGTCACAGCCCTGGGCCACAGTGGCTTCCATCCTGCCCAGGTGCAGGGAGGGGAACAGTGGGCAGCACACTATGTGATCAGCCCATGCATCCAGGGGCATCCTGGCCCACAACAGTGCCCCAGCAGCTGTCCCACCAGCTCTCTTAGAAAACCTGACCACCCCCACCCGGCCCGCCATGCAGCAGGAGCCACATCCTTATTGCGGCTCATCCCTCATTCCCTCACAGGCAGGGAAGAGCTCATCTCATTGTTCAAAGCCACATCTGTTTAATCCTAGCAAAGAAAGGTTTTCAGACCCACCGTTAAAAGGCAGCTTGGGCTCTCTCTCCAGGAGCTCCCACAGTCGCGCCCCGGCGCCCAGTCCTTTCATCAGCTCCGAGTAGAAAGAGCTCAGACCTGAGGATGAGAAACAGAATCCATACACATTTCCATCACTGGCCACCTCTCCTCTGAGAGTAGTGACAATGATTGCTTTTAACACAGAATCCGTTATTAATACTTTCAAAAAATAACCTGAGGCAGCTTCCTGGAAACTGATATTAAGAATTCCCTTGCCTCACGCTCTAGTTTTCCTTTGGCTTCCTCCTCCAGTTTCATTGATTTCGTTCTTTCTTTTTATTGAGATGGAGTCTCACTCTGTCACCCAGGCTGCAATGCAGTAGCATGATCTCGGCTCACTGCAACCTCCACCTCCCTGGTTTAAGTGATTCTCCTGCCTCAGCCTCCTGAGTAGCTAGGATTACAGGTACACACCACTATGTCTGGCTAATTTTTTTGTTTTTAGTAGAGATGGGGTTTCACCATGTTGGCCAGGCTGCTCTTGAACTCCTGACTTTAGGTGGGCCACCAGCCTCGGCCTCCCAAAGTGTGAGATTACAGGCATGAGCAACTGTACCCAGCCAAATTTCACTGATTTCTAATAAGGATTTAATGTTTGATCAAGGATTAAAAAACACATAGTCATATTCATTAACCACTGGATTAAAATCATAATGCTGCAGAGTAAGTCTACCTAGTTAAAAGCATAGCAATTTAAATGAAATGTAACCCTACCTCATAATTTTAAAAAATATAAAATACTTCAAGTTGATTTTAAAGACAAATCCACAAAATAATACCTCACCTCAGGCACTCAGTAAATAGAACTTTGATAAACTACTCACATTCTCCCATATACTTTAAGTAATCTCTAGATTACTTATAACACCCAATACAATGTAATGCTATGTTTAAAAAAAAAAAAAAAAATGATGCCAGGCACAGTGTTCATGGCTGTAATCTCAACACTTTGGGAGGCCAAGCTAGAAGGATTGCTAGAGCCCAGAAGTTCAACACCAGCCTGGGCAACACAGAGAGAACCTTGTTTCTACAAAAAAATAATTCATTCAGTCTCCACAGAGATGTCAAAAATTGCCAATGCTGGCCAGGCGCAATGGCTCACACATGTAATCCCAAGCATTTTGGGAGGCCAAGGTAGAAGGACCACTTGAGGCCAAGAGTTCAAGACCAGCCTGTCCAACATGGTGAAACCCTGTCTGTACTATTAAAAAAAAAATACACACACACACACACACACACAAAATTAGGCCAATCACGGCTGTAATCCCAGCACTTTGGGAGGCTGAGGCAGGCGGATCACCTGAGGTCAGGAGTTCAGGAGTTCAAGACCAGCCTGGCCAACATGGTGAAACCCCATCTCCACTAAAAATACAGAAAAATTAGCTGGATTCGGTGGTATATGCCTATAGTCCCAGCTACTCAGGAAGCTGAGGCTGGAGAATCACTTGAACCTGGGAGGCAGAGGTTGCAGTGAGCCAAGATTGCATCACTGCACTCCAGCCTGGGTGACAGAGTAAGACTCCATCTCAAAAAAAAAAAAAGAAAAAAAAAAAAATTGCTGGGCATGGTGGCAGACTCCTGTAATACCAGTTACTTGGGAGGCTGAGGCACGAGAATTGCTTGAACCTGGGAGGTGAAGGATGTAGTGAGCTAAGATGGTGCCACTGCACTCCAGCCTGGGCAACAGAATGAGACTCCCTTTAAAAAAAAAAAAAAAACAAAAAACTTGCTAGTGCTTACTACATTGCAAGTCATCACAGAGGGGTACTGGGAAAAGTTTTCAATTAGCAATAATCATGCCTCAGATAAACCTCATTGCCTATGATACTGCCATTGTCCTAAGCTAAACATATTCTTTTTTTTTTTTTTTTTTTTTTGAGACGGAGTTTTGCTGTTGTTGCCCAGGCTGGAGTGCAATGGCACGATCTTGGCTCACCGCAACCTCCGCCTCCTGGGTTCAAGCAATTCTCCGGCCTCAGCCTCCCGAGTAGCTGGGACTACAGGCATGCACCATCATGCCCAGCTAATCTTTGTATTTTTAGTAGAGACGAGGTTTCACCTTATTGACCAGGATGGTCTCGATCTCTTGACCTCGTGATCCACCTGCCTCAGCCTCCCAAAGTGCTGGGATTACAGGCTTGAGCCACCGCGCCCGGCAGCTAAACATATTCTTACCATCCAATCAAGCAGTTATACTACTTGGTATTTACCTAAATGAGCTGAAAACTTCTATCTACACAAAAACCTACACATGGATGTTTATAGCAGCTTTATTCATCATTTCCAAAACTTAGAAGCAGCCAAGATGTCCTTTAGTAGGTGAATGAATAAACTGTTGTATATCCAGACAATGGAATATTATTCACTGCTAAAAATAAATGAGCTATCAAGCCATAAAAAGACATGGTGGAATCTTAAATGCATATTTGCATGAAAAGAGCCAATCAAATGCTATATACTGTATGATTACAACTATATGACATTCTAGAAAAGGCATAACCATGGAAACAGTAAAACCATCAGTGGTTGTCAGGGGTTGCAGAAGGGTGATGAATAAACAGAGCTCAGAGGATCTTTGGGGCAGTGAAACTACTCTGTATGATACAGTAATGTTGGGTACATGTCATTATGCATCTGTCCAAACCCATAGAATATACACCAAGAGTGAACCCTCACATATACTATCGACTTTGGGTGTAGTGCTGTGTCAATGTAGGTTCTTTTTTTTTTTTTTTTTTTGAGACAGAGTCTCACTTTGTCACCCAGGCTGGAGTGCAATGGTGCAATCTCAGCTCACTGGAACCTCTGCTTCCTGGGTTCAAGCAATTCTCCTGCCTCAGCCTCCTGAGTAGTTTGGGATTATAGGTGTGTGCCACCACACCCAGCTACTTTTTGCACTTTTACTAGAGACAGGGTTTTGCCATGTTGACCAGGCTAGCCTCGAACTCCTGGACTCAAGTGATCTGCCCACCTCAGCCTCTCAAAGTGCTGGGATTAAAGGCATAAGCCACTGCGACCGCTGTAGGTTCATTAACTGTATCAAATGTACCACTCTGCGGAGGATGTTGACAGTGAGGGAGGCTATGTGTGTATGGGGGTAGTGGTATACACCCCTATCTCAACACAATTTTGCTATGAACCTAAAACTACTTTGAAAATGGTATTAATTTTTTTAAAGAAAAAGGAAGGTAGGGAAGAAAGAAAGAAGAAGAAAAAAGTAAGGCTGGACATGGTGGCACACAACTATAATTCCAGCACTTTGGGAGGCTGAGGCAGGAGGATCACTTGAGTCCATGAGTTTGAGACCAGCCTGAGCAACACAACATAGCAAGGCCCTGTCTCTACAAAAATAATTAGCTGAGTATGGTAGCTCATGCCTGTGGTCCTAGCTACTAAGGAGGCCCAGGTGGAAGGATCATTTCAGCCCAGGAGATCAAGGCTGCAGTGAGCTAGGATTATGCCACTGCACTTCTGACTGGAGACAGAGTGAGACCCTTTTTCTAAAACAAAACAAAACAAAAAAGAAGTGAAAGAGTCAAAAGTAGTTTAATATAGTAAAGAGCTTTGACTTTGAAGAACAAAAGCAAAATGGCCCTGGATTAACAAAATGCAATCTCTCTCTATAACGGAATATTATTCAACCATAAAAAGGAATGACGTACTAGGCAAGTTGCAGTGGCTCAGGCCTGCCATCCCAACACTCTGGAAGGTGGAGGAAGCCAGATTCCCTGAGCCCATAAGTTCAAGACCAGCCTGGGCAACATGGCAAAACTCTGTCTCTACAAAAAATACAAAAATTAGCCAGGTATAGTGGGCACATGCCTGTAAGTCCTAGCTACTTAGGGGGCTGAGGTGAGAGGATCGCTTAAGCTCAAGAGGTCAAGCCTGCGCCACTGCACTCCAGCCTGGGTGACAGAGCAAGCCCCTGTCTTGGGGGAAAAAAAGGGAAAAAAAAAAGGAATGAAGTACTGATATATGCTATAATGTAAATGAACTTTGAAAATATTATGCCAAGTGTAAGAAGCCAAACACAAAAGGACATTTATTGCATGTTTCCTCTTACATGAAATATCTACAATAGGTAAATACATAGAGACAGAAAGCAAACTGTGGTTGCCAGGAGCTGGCAGGAAGAAGTAATGCAGATAGACTGCTTAATGAGTATCCGTTTTCTTTTCGGGTGATGAAACTGTATGGGAGCTAGAAGGAGGTAGTGTTTGCACAGCATTGTGAATGTACTAAATACCACTGAATTGTAAACTTGAAAATGGTTAGGTTTTGCTTTTCTTCATACAGTACTTCTGACCTCTTCTTAGAAGAGAATGTGCTTAGAATCATTGGGGATTTTCCCCCCTAATATGCCTTTCTAAGCAGAAACCAAAATAAAAATTCTTATTTATTCAATTAATAAAATAGGATTTCTTGCTTCGTAGATTTATTATAGAATTACTTTGGACAGTTATTCTATAAAAGTATAAGATTACTTTAAGAACATAAAAGCACTTAAAATCCTATTGAAGTTGTTGGGCACTGGTGGTTCAGTGGTAGAATTCTCACCTGCTAATTCAAGTTGTTGGATTAAACTCCTATCACCTTAGGTACCTAAGTTATAAATGTGGAGGAAACCGGTGGCAACAGGGGTACACTGACTTACCCATACTTTTTTTTTTTTTTTTTGAGACAGAGTCTC